CATCGTCTGAACTCTTCGGGGGTCCCCCCGGGGGGGTTTGGGTGCTGGTTGGTGGGCGAGGGGAGGAGGAGGAGGAGTTGGTGCCTTTCCAGGTGGGCCGAGCGGCCGCGGGAAGGGCTCTGGAATGGAGCGGGGAAGGAATGAGTCACCCCGGGCTGGAAATAAACGGGGCTGTGGGCACCAGGGGGGAGCCAGGGCGGCTCCTCGCCCCGGGTTCGTTGGGAAGGAGGAATTACTTGTGGTATCCTTCGGCGAGACACCCCTCGGGGCTGAACCCACAGCCCTTTTAGGGAGAAATCATCGGGAAAAGGCGAAGAAACGGGAGGCGGCGGCAGTCGGGAGTTGTCAATAATTTATCACAGGCTGTATATACAGGGACAAGCTCCAGCAGGTGATCAGGGAAGGGAAACTTGCTCCTCGCTCCCAGCCAAGCTCTTGGCACGCTGGATCTTCCCTGAAAACCACCAGAGCCAGGACTCCCCTCTGGAATTTCTCCGATGGGCAACAGGATGCGTCTCACCTGCCCTCGGCATGGGGAGCCTTCCCATCCCCTCCCCACCCATCCCACCTCCTTCCCCAGTTACCCAAATCATTAATGAATGAGGGAGGGGGATGGGGCAGGGACCCCCCCCCCCTCAGATCTTGATCTCAGTCCGGAAGAGCTGCTGGACGTGCTCGGTGTGCTTGGCGGGCCGACGCTGCGCCCGGATGGTCAACGTGCCATCGTCCCCCAGCGAGGAGGACACCGAGGTGGGATCCACATCGTCGGGCAGCTGGCACTTGTGGGTGAAGGTGTTCATGACCGTGCCATCCGCAGCCAGCTGAGCGGGGGGAGGGGGGAAATCAGGTTGAAAAAGGTCAATTTTGGGGAGCAAGTGGGAACGGGGAGGGCTCGTTCCCCGTGGCACCTTGTGTGTGGTGGTGATGATCTCCTGAGGGGACAGGTGGGTGGCATCAAGGGGGAACAAAAAGGTGGGGTTTTTCTTCAGTTCTCACCCCCCCTGGGAGAAGTACAATTACAAGGCATGAGCTTGTTGGGTCTCATGGGCTTTGCTCTGGTGAAATATGGGGCAAAAAGAGGGAATTGTCAATTGAAGCTCACCAGGGTTACAGCTGGGACTGGTAGGAGGTGGGCTGAGGGTCTGGGGGTCCCTCTGACTTTGGGGGTGAGTGGGGAAGGGAGGGAGCACCCACCTTCTCGGCATGCACCTCGATCTGGTTGTTGGAGGTGGTGACAATGATGTCCTCGGGGGCGAAGTCGCTGACGTCCACCGTGAACTGGTAAGTGTTGCCCAGGGTCTTCACTGCGCCCGTGCTGCTGGGACGAGCTGCTGAAGAGGAAGGGGGTCATCACCACAGCTCTTGGGGGATCCCCCGTGAATGCTTCTTAGGGGAGGGTGTTGAGAGGACCCCCCCATAATGTATCCTGAGGCCATGACCACATTTTGGTGAGGATCCAACCACCTCTCCCACTGCCCCAGCTGCCCAGGACGCGGCTGTACCGGTGCGAGGGGCAGAGGCATCACCAAACCCCCGGTTTGCTCCTTCCCCCAGCCCTAAAAACGGGGTGATCCCCCCACCACCCTAAAAAAAACTCACCTGGGAACCCCAAACTCTCTCCATGGGGCCGGACAAAGCTCCCAAAAAGGTCCATAGTGCAGGTGAAAGCTGCTCTCTGCTCAGGATGCAGCCGAGGCTCCCACCTTCAGCCACCGCTTCCCACCCCGACCTCTCACCCCAGATCCTGCTGGGGACGAAGAGTGAACCCCTTTCCTCTACCTCCTCCTCTCCCTCCCGGCCACGACCAAGCGGGATCAGTTCTGTTTTGCAGGGGGGAAGAGTCCTGACGAGCTTTTTAAAGCCTCGTTAGGGCTCCTGGGCGCCTGCCAAGGCCTCGTAAAAAAA